CCATAAGCATGGTTCGATGAAAAAAAAAACAAAAAAACAAAACAAACAAAAAAAAACCAACAAAAAAAAATATTTCCCAGCTGCCAGGTTGTTCTCACAAAGAGGCTAAGTGGAACTCAAAAAAAAAAAAAAAAAAAAAACCCCCAAAATAAAAATAAAAAGGCCAGGAATTCTTTTAATGTTAAAAAATAAAATAAAAGCGGGATATGGCAACGCTACGAGTAAAGTGGAATACGTCACGGAAACCAAAGTCTTTTTGCAGGCAACACTGTTTGGAGAGAGGAGAACACTTGATGGGTGAAAAAAGTGAAGTCCTAAATTATATACAACAGTATCTTGAAAAACAGTCTCCTTTAACGTGATTCAAGGTTTAACTTGCCATTATCTATTGCTTATTTATTCAGATCCGTAATAACACTTAAGAGAAAAGACGGATGCGTCAAAATGAGACACCGTGGAATAAAGAAAAAAAAAAAAAAACCTCAAAAAACAGCTTTTCATATGAAAACGCCATGTGGACGCGCTTGTCCCGCGTGGAATGTACCTCCAGGCTGGGAGCTTCTCCTCCACTCCCTGCTCCAGTGGGAAAACCGGCCGGGTGGGTAGGAAAACTGGCCGGTCCGACCGGGGCTGCGCTGGCTGGGGGAGCCCCCCCCAAACTGCCCGTCACCCCAAAAAAACTCCTGTCCAGGCAGAAAAGTTCGACTCGCCCAGCTGGGAAGGGAAAGGATCCCAAAGCGTCTGGTAGCGAGATGGAAAAAGGGGGCAGAGAGCCCGAATCCTTATGAAGGACGAGCCTCAGTTGTTAAATTTTAAGGGGTATCCGATGGCTTTTTCCAGGCACTCTACCAAAGAGCCGGCGGAAAGAAAATCCCTCTCCACTTCCACAAATTTGATGTAGATGGATTTGGGGGAGACGCCGGGCTCGACGACGCAGTTCTGAGATAAAAAGGCGTTGATCCCCACCCAATCCTTGCTGAAGGTTTTGGTGTTTGCCTGAAAATGTAAAAACAGGCACTGCTGGAGAGTCCGCACCTCAGCGATGCCGAGGTAACAGTAGATTATCCGGGCGGATTCCACATCCAGCCGGAGGGTGGTCTGGGGGGAAGGGACCTCCAGCTCCCCGGGAGTCTCACTGCCGGGATCGGGTCCCCGGTGCTCGGCCAGCGGGGAGGGGGGCTTCTCGTGACACTCCTCGTAGCCGATGGCGTACAAACCAGGGCTTTTGGGGATCCCTCCCGGCAATAAATACTGCACGATGTTGCCTCCGGTGGGTTTGGAGTGAGCAATGGGGATCCAGTCGATCTCCATGTGGAGCTCCAGGCAGCGAGCTTCGCTGATGGTGATCTCCAGGAATTTGTAATAAACGTTTTTCCAGTTCATTTTCTGCACCCGGGTCATGATCACCCTTCCCTCGGGTTTTTCTGAGTTGAAATATTCCCGGAGCCGTTTGCCGAGGGGTACCTGGGAGCTGATCTCGGCGTAGTGGTAACGGATGTCCTCCTTCCAGCGCGTGTTGTAACCGATGCCGAAAATGGCCAGTTTGTTGGAAAGATGGAGCCGGGAGAAGTCCGTCCAGCTCTGAAACAGCTCCCACTTCAGCTGGACCGACTCCAAGATTTGCATAACGTTCTGCATGACGTCGCGCTTCCTGGAAAATTAAAAAAAATAAAACAAAAAAACAAAAACAAAACACAGAGAGAAGGGTGAAGGCATCGGTCATAAAACCATCCCAGCGCACGTACCCACCTCTGGAAAATATTAATCCCTTTTGGCTTTCAAGCGATGGGTATTTATTACTATAGAGATCCTCTATGGTGAGGTGAGGTTACAGATTATAATGATTAATCTCAGTAAAACCAAATTAAAACCCAACCCCAGCTCCTTCCGATAATCTCAGCAAACCGCTATCTTGGCTGGAAAGGAGAGTTCATGCCTGAAGTTCTGCAGGAGACAACCCAAGGAAGGAAAGGAGAGGTGAGAAATCCCCAAATTCAGCTTCCGAGGAAGATTTTGGCTCTTAAAACCCCACAGGATGGAATGTTCTGCTCCTACATGGGCTGCCTCAAAGCGATGAGGAGCAACCACACGGCTGGGGCCGCCAAATAAATGCAAAATTCAGTTATTGGGTTATTCCTTAGGGCCCTGCCTTCCCACCCACGCACCCTTCGGCACAGGCGACCACAGCCGCATCCCTGATTTGCCACCAAAACGTTTCCACCTTGTCATTACCCTAAAATTAGTGTAATTGGGGAAAAAAACAACCCAAATAGGGAGCTCCCGGCTGCTGGGACGGGCTCAGTGCCAGTGCTGGATCAGAACCGGGGAGATCCCAGATTTGCAGAAGCAGAAATCCCTCTGGAAAAGAAATCCCTGCCTTTCCAAAGGTTTCTTTCCCCTCGGGAATGACACGGCATCGTTTCCTTACTGCGGTGGGATTTACACCCTGGAACAGCTTCCTCTGGATGAATGAGACACTCAGGGCGTAATTAGCTCGTAAGGAGAACGGCTCATTTTAAGAGTTATTGTTCTATAATCAAAGCTGTAGGAAGATAATGAGCCTCATTCAGTAACAAGAAATCTCTCCCGGGCCAACAAATGGGATATAAAAGTTCACTCCACCCAACTCTCCTCCCTTTTCTCTCTTATGCCTCATCTGTAGAGCTGAACCGCGATTGCATGGAACCATCACATCCCCAAGAGGCTCCTTCCTCCTCCCGTGTCTCACCAGGAGAACACACGGCATCTTTCCTCCCTGCACCAGGCCACACCAGTTGGAAGAGATGATCTTCTCATGAAGATCATTTAAACTCCCTAAAATCAGCCCTCCCCTGATGGAGTTTGGGCATGAGACTAGTGAGGGACACGATGATCTTCAAGCACAAGCAGATATGGTGCCCCACCTGGGGTTAAGACTCTGGCAGTTGCGTTTCTGCCCAATAAGACCCTAGGAGCAGGTGGTCTCTTCCATCAGATTGATAGAAGCATTCAAAGAGGGAAGGTTTGGGAGCAGCACTGCGGGAAGGCTCCATAGAAGATGTCCAAACTCACACAGCCTCTCATCTCCAAAACCTGCTCTTATAGGTGTAAGCACAATGCGTGTGATTTTGGGAAGGTTCTCCAAGTGCTGGTGCCTCCAGGCTTGGACCACAGAGCTGTGTTGAGCCACTGGATGCACTTTGGTTGGTGCCCCCCAGGATCTCCAAACAGGGGGTAGGTTGTCCAGCCCCCCCCACAGTGTGTCCAAGCTGAGATGGCTCACTCCTCACGGCGTCGGGAAGGACCTTTCCCAACCAGGCCAGAAGATTCCTGGAGAGATCTCAAGAGGCACGTTGGCAGGCGCGTCCCTGTGAGGGTGACCAAGTTTCCAGAGCTCCACGGAGGGGACCTGCTTGGCCAGCAGGGCTGGGTTTGAGATGTTTAAAACACCTGTTGTGTCTTCAACAAACTCCCGTTGATAATTTTAAGCTACTTCCAAGGAGTCATTTCCCATCCCCCCTGTCCCACGGCAAAGGAGATGGCTGGGAAAAAAATGCTGGATGAGAAAAATGCATATTTACCCCAAATCCTTTTATATTTACACACAAAAACCGCGGCAACACCCAACTGTTTCAAAACTTCTCTCCAGCTTCTGTGACGCTTCTTCAGGAAAGAACTTGGAAAATGGCTTTTTTAGACTTCTAGAGGAGAAAATTCACCTTCTGGGGCTAAGACGGGGAAGGGGAGCAGAGGGAGAAGGGGACAGGGTGGGCGAGGGGCTGTTTGGTGACCCCCGAGGCTGCGTGTCACCGCTGGGACACCCTCACTCAGCTTGGCAGGCAGCTGAGAGCAGTTTGAAGACAGCAGCTCCATCCAAACCCGGAGACAGGAGAAAGCAGCGTGGGCAGATTTTCATTCAACAGCAGAGAAACAGAGTTAAGAACTGGAAAAAAAAAAAAAAAAAAAAAAGAAAAAAAAAAAAAACCCCCCCCCGAAATCAAAAGGATGAGATCTAAGATGCAGAGGAGAAAAACAAGCAGGACATAGGAGGGATGAGGAGGAGGTTTAAATAGTTAATTAGGAACAGTGATTCAAAAAAAAAAAAAAAAAAAAAAAAGGAAAAAAAAAAGAGCCCCCACCTTTATTAATTACACTAGAAATACTGGCGCTAAGTTTAGCTCAGCACAAAATAGAGCTGAAGCTCCAGTGAAAAAAAAAAAACACAACAGTTAAATTAGTCACTGATCAAACTGCTCCTGCTGGGAAGAGGAGTGATTTCATCAGAGACGGTGCCCGCAACACCTGACGTAGGGGAAGGAAGGGAGTTCCACGGAGGGAATCCACTGCTTCAAGCAACAGTGAAAAAAGAAACTTTAAAAAGCTTTAAATAGCTCAGCATCTCCTCTTCCAGCAGGACACGAGGTGGCTGCCCCACTCAGCATCACTCTCCCAGGCTCCATCCAGCATCTCCACGGCTCAGCCACACGGAGGGTTAAGCAGCAAGAGTCAAAATTGTTACTATTATTTATTTTTCAACAGAAAAACCGGAGCTCACAGAGGATTTTCCCTATGTCAGGGCTGGGGGGCACAGGGCAAGCTCATTTTTCAGCTTCAGAAGGTGCCCTAGAGCTGGGCTTTACCCTCTCGTTGAACCACGACCTCCTCGCTGGAGACCAGCATCTGCATTTCTTTCTCCTTGGAAGCTTCTGCAATTCAGCCGAGGAAAGACACGAGCCGTGGTGCAAATTTGTTCTAGGGTGCCATTTCCAAGCATGAGCAGACTTCAAAGTGGCTGGAACAACTGGTTCCAGTGAAGGACCCGGCTCCCTGAGCGTTTTTCAGTACGTCTTCACAAAGCCCACAGTGAATACAACCACTCCTCAAAATGAATTTTCAAGAGCAGAACAGAGGCTTAAGCAGCGTTTCATTTTACAAAAAAAAAAACCAGTTTATTTGGAGGCCAAGGGGATGCAAGAGCAGAGACGAGGTGGGCAAGGAGAGCCCAGCTGATGGAGCACAGCACGTGGACACAGCTTACCTATCACTCTCCACCGAAAACTAGGCGACCTGGGAAATTGGGGATGTCCTTCGATGGTTTTGGAGGCCAGTTATTTGCTACCCGGGGTGAAGAGAGGCCACGCTGTCCCCACTAATATGTTGTGCTGAAGTACCATGGAGATGCAGTGGATGGTGAGCAGATGGAGAACTGGCTGGGTGGCAGAGCTCAGAGGGTTGCGGTCGGTGGTGCAGAGTCCCCCTGGTGTTCCCCAGGGGTCAATAATGAGTCCAGTCTTGTTCAAGTTCATCAATGACCTGGACGAGGGGGCAGAGTGTACCCTCTGCACATTTGCTGGTGACACAACGCTGGGAGGAGGGTCCATGCTGAAGGCTTTGCTGCCACTCAGCGTGGACAGGCTGGAGAGTTGGGCACAGAAGAACCTAAGGAGGTGCCACAGGGGCAAGTGTAGGGTCCTGCACTGGGGAGGAATGACCCCATGCACCAGGACAGGTTAGGGTTTGACCTGCTGCAAAGCAGCTCTGCAGAGAGGGACGTGGGAGTCCTGGTAGCCAACAAGTTGCCCTTGTGGCCAAGAAGGTCAATGGTATCCATGGCCAGCAGGTGGAGAGAAGTCATCCTCCCCCTCTTCTCTGCCCTGGGGAGGCCCCAGCTGGAGCACTGGGTCCAGTTCTGGGCTCCCCAGTTCAAGAAGGACAGGGAACTGCTGGAGAGAGTCCAGTGGAGACTATGAAGATGATGAGGGACTGGAGCATCTCTCTGCTGAGGAAAGGCTGAGGGACCTGGGGCTGTTCAGCTGGAGAAGAGCAGACTGAGAGGGGACCTCATCGATGCTGAGCAATAGCTAAAGGGTGGGTGCAAGAGGATGGGGCCAGACTCTTCTCGGTGGTGCCCAGTGCCAGGAGAAGGGGCAACGGGCACAAACTGGGGACATGGGAAATTCCATCTCGAGACAGTATTTTGCAATACCCGTGCTGCATGGGGTAGCATCCCCCCATCCCAAGCTCTCCACGTCAAAAACAGCAGCACAAGGTTCAGTGAAGGAATTCGAAGGCACCGCTGCTCCCTCCAGCTTTATCAAGATTATTTCTGCTGACAACCTGCACTTGACCGAAAACGCAGATGAACTGGAGCCCTTACTGTCTTTGAAATCAGTTACACATATTTTAAAATGCTGGCCAAAGAGGTGAAAAGGTTTCACGTTTATTTATTGTCTGCGGCTTTTAAGAATAAACACAATGCTATTTTTTTAATATAATAAATACCCATCTTATCTTTATATCAGCCATGACTGCTTTAATCTACTAAATCAGAGTTTAAAAGTTCCTTGCTCTCATAATGGGGGGAAAAAAAGCAATTTTCAGCAAATGTCTGTGTTGGAAGATGCTTTGTGCTTCCACTGAGCATGTGAAATGGACTTGTCACCCACATGCTTCCCAAAATGCCTTCTGTGCATTTTAGAGGGAATTTTTTGGGGAAAAAACCCACCAAACTCCAAAAAGGTCTAATCTACCAAATCTGGTCCAGCCATCCACCTCCTCAACAGAACCTGGAAAAGATTCAGGCAAGGCCGAGCCTTCACCTTAGAAAATTTACGTTTATTTTCTATGTGACTCCCTAAAGCACACCTTGAAAGGTGAAAAACTGTTCAAGGAGGCAATAATAATGCTTATACTGAAAAATGTTATTTTTCTCCAGGTCATCTCCGAGCGGCTAAACTGAATTTGCCCCATGTTAGGAAAAGAGTCACCTTCAGGTACTGTTTAAGTCCACCTGAAGTGAGGAGTTTGATGAAATCAGGCCATTACAATGGAGGCTTATTCTTAATTTTTTTAGGTTTTAAAGGATTTCTTTCTTTCAATTAGTCACAGCAAAAAAGCCTCTGTTGCTTTACTAACCAGGGACATGATGTGCCAATGACCTCCTACCCCACAGAAGCTCATTTTCCAGCGTAGGAAACACCAGATTCTTTCATAGCGTCATCCAAAATCACTGTCGGGAGGAGAAACTCATGTGTGGAACCCACCCAGAAGGGTCTGAGAGCCAATTTGGGATGGCTCAGTCCCATCGCAGACTGCCCCCTGGGTTTTCAAACCCTAAAGGTCAGAAGAAAGTAGCCCTGGTCTGAGGAAATACGACACAATTCCTTTCCTTTTTCAAAAGGCTGTGTTATTGTTGGCGAGGCAAAGGAGATTCGCGTGCTCAAAGCATTTGAAATGCTCCGGCATTCGTAAGATCAAACCAATCCAAAAGTTTGAAAAAGAAAAGAAAAATAAGTCCCAGGCTCTGGCGTTCCTTCCCATCAAGGAGGGGAAACGCAGGAACTCTTCTCACAGGCTTTACTCACTCCAAGCAACTACACTGCCTCCCTCTTCTCACTCTTTCTTCCCTTTGCTCCTCCTATATTCTTTATTTTTTTTTTTCCTTACGTGCAAAGGAGCAAACAGAAAAAAAAAATATCAGATTACAATTAGATCCAAGCGTCTGGCCTCGTGTCCCGAGACCCGCAGCCTGCCCACACACATCTCTTACGAAGCTGATGTGGATTTTATCCGTATTTTAAGTGCCTGCTTTAGTGTAGTAAAGTCCCGTTCGGTTTGCTGGACGCCGAAGCCAAGAGGAGACAGATCTGGGGAGGTTTTCAGTTGGTCTGAGGTAACTGGAGTAACGCATAAAGCAGATTCAACTGTACGAACCGTCTCGCACCATGTATTTATAATTATAATCAGAAGTTTCAAATATCCTCCCCGCCTGCACCACCTCCCCAGGGAAACACATTCCAGGGTAAAACATTCATAAATTACTTACTGCGTGTCTTCTGAAGATTCCTGCTTTATCTTTAATGTTCTTTTTGTGGTAGGCATTTCATCTGAAAGGTAAAATTCCAACACATAATTACATTTTAAATAATGTTCCTGGGGCTTTTTTTTTTTAAGGCTGAAATTAAATAGGAAACAACTCTGATTTATTTTTTTAAGCCAGGCAAGTCCACTGGAGTCCCACAGGAGATGCCTCCAGTTCCTAAATCGTCCGTAACAATTAGTATTTTTATCTTGGAAGAGACGTTGTCCGCTAAGATTTGAATCTGCAAGTGCAAAAAACCTTTGAAGGACAACACCACGATTCCCACTATTAAATCACAAATCTATTTAATTGCAAACTATATGTTTAAAAGAAAAAAAGGGAAAAAGAAAAAAGGCTATTCTGCTTTCAGTGGCACATAGGAAGAGCAAGCAGCAGAACAAAGGTGTCTGCATTCCATTTAGATGTTATGTTTTCTCCTCACTTCTCTGAAAATTAAGAATATCCTCAGCTCAAGCACACCCAGACGTCTCCGGTTCAGGTGAAGGAAGCGGTGACAAACCAGTGACCACAGTTTGACTCACCAGAGTGAGCCAAACCAGATAGAATCAGCCGTCGTCCACATACGTTCTGTAACGTGGGTTTCTCCCCACCCTTTCTCTCCCACATATTTCTGATTTTTAACTCACGCAGAGAAGAGGTTGGAGAAAACTGGAACGTAGTAAACAGCCAACTTGCACATTTTAACCTTAAATGCACCCAACTCCCCAGTGCCCTGAGCACAGACGTGGGACTGCATCTCCTCTCCCCAGTTCAGCCTACAAATCACACAGCAGGAAAGAGGCCATCACACCTTTATCCAATTCACCTTCTAATTACCCCTTCGCTTGGGTCTCCATTGACTTTCATCAACTTAAAAGTTTCCTTTTGCTCAGGCAACGGAGGAACGGGCACCCGTAAGACCAGGGGCTCAAGAGACAGGAATATACTTAAAGAAACCCATATTTTCTATATAAAAAGGTCACAAATCTGGATATAAGCATCTAAAAAGGGAAAATATCTCCCCAATCACAGGAGGGGAAGCAGAAATGAGCACGGAAGAAGGGAAAGAGAATGTGTTGCCACCTCCTCTTCCTCCTCCATCATTTCTGGCCACGGAGTCCTTCGCCCCTCCTGCAAGGCCAATTAAACTCAAGACCTGATCCTAAAATACTTCAGGAACCGCAGCTGGCTTTTGATGGTAAACTGGGGAATTTCTTTCCCTTTTCTCCCCAAAGACATCAGGTGTTTGGCATCTGGAACACACTCTGTCCAAAACATGAATGCTGGCACTCTCCATCCTGGTGAGACCTCCCTGCAGTGCTGCCTCCAGCTCTGGGGACATCAGAAGGACATGGAGCTGTTCGAGAGGGGCCAGAGGAGGCCCTGGAGATGCTGGGAGGGCTGGAGCCCCTCTGCTGGGAGGGCAGGATGAGAGTTGGAGGGGTTCAGCCTGGAGAAGAGAAGGCTCCAGGGAGCCCTTGGAGCCCCTTCCAGTCCCTCAAGGGGCTCCAGGAAAGCTGGGGAGGGACTTTGGATCAGGGAGGGGAGCCATAGGATGAGAGGGAAGGGTTTGACACTGAAAGAGATTGAGACTGAGATGAGATGTGGGGCAGAACTTCTTTGGTGTGAGGGTGGTGAGAGCCTGGCCCAGGTTGCCCCGAGAAGCTGTGGCTGCCCCATCCCTGGAGGGGTTCAAGGCCGAGGTTGGAAGGGGCTTGGAGCAACCTGTTCTGGTGGGAGGTGTCCCTGCCCAGGGCAGGGGGTGGCACTGGATGATCTTTAGGGTCCCTTCCAACCCAAACCATTCTATGATATAGCGGAATCACGGAATTGTCAGAGTTGGAAGGGACCTCTAGAGATCATCTGGTCCAACTCCCCTGCTAAAGCAGGAATGCCCAGAGCACATCACTCAGGAGCATCCAGGCGGGTCTTGAAGATCTCCAGAGAAGGGGACTCCACGACCTCCCTGGGCAGCCTGTCCCAGGGCTCCATCACCCTCACCCTAAAGAAGTTTTTTCTCATATTTGAATGGAACTTCCCATGTTCCAGCTTGAGCCCGTGGCCCCTTGTCCTATCGCTGGAAACCACTGAAAAGAGTCTGGCTCCAACATCCTTCAACTCACCCTTTAGATACTTATGAACATAAATAAGGTCTCCCCTCAGTCTTCGCTTGTCCAGGCTAAAGAGTCCCAGCTCCTTGAGCCTTTCCTCATAAGGGAGATGCTCCAATCCCTTAATCATCTTGGTTGCCCTGCGCTGGACTCTCTCCAGTAGTTCCCTGTCCCTCTTGAACTGGGGAGCCCAGAACTGGACACAGTATTCCAGTTGTGGCCTCACCAGTGCAGAGTAGAGGGGGAGAATGACCTCCCTCCACCTCCTGGCCACACTCTTCCCTACGCAGCCCAGGATGCCATTGGCCTCTTGGCAACAAGGGCACATTGCTGGCGCATGGAAAGTGTGCTATCTACCAGGACTCCCAGATCCTTTTCCTCAGTACTGCTTCCCAGAAGATCCATCCCTAACCTGTATTGGTGCCTGGGGTTCTTCCTCCCCAGGTGCAGGACCCTGCATATCAGGATATTGCATACAATCCTGATTGTATATCAGGACCCTGATATGTATATTTGAGATAGGTATGAGCACAGAGCACAGGCAAAAGCAGACACTTGGATTGGAAATGCACCAAGATGGGATTTCTTACCCAGTTCCTGCTCTCCGGTCTGGTAGCAATGCAGATCCTGACTGTGGTTGCCCCAGTCCTCCTGCGAATACTCCTCCATCGTGCTGCCGTCTGACTCCAGCTCCTGGTACAAGCCACTGCTGTTGATGAGGACGGGCTGGCAGGGCTGGGAGTCCCATCCTCCCTGCCCAAAGACCTGCTCCAGCTGCTCAAAGGTGTAGCTGCTTTTCCTCTTCCCAACGCCGTGCTCCTTCACCCGGCTGTAGCACCTGCGAAGGGTCTAAAGACAGAAAAGCGCAGGTTCATTAGGTGGCACATCAGAAGAGAACACGTGCGCTTGCAGACAGTTACACAGCTGCTAGGCAGGCTTTTAGGGTTGGTTTTACTTTTTTTTTTTCAATTTACTTCTGCTGATCAGTCTTTGCCCTACGCTCACGAGGTAAACGCAACGCTCCCAAACTATTCTACACCCACCAGGAAGCATCACAGGTATCCAACCTTCCTAGTGCAGCTCTTTAGCATTAACGTCTACGACACGGGACAGAGTTGCGTAGCAGCGACAATTTCATCAGATTTAACTCAGGCGATTTATTCTCTTCCCAGGAAAAAAAAAATAATAATCCCCAGATCTGCTATGTAAACGCAAGGGGGAAAAAAAATAATAAAAAAAATAAAAAAATACCAAGAGACCCCCAGTCAGAGATACCAACCAGCCAAGGAAACGCACACCTACGGCCAGGAGGAGAGAGCAGAGCTGGTGTCGTGCCCACAGCTTGGAGAGGGGGAAGCAGGAAGAGAGAGAGAGAGAGGAAGAAAAACAGGAGAGTCCCCCAAAGCAAAGACAGTCCAACCTTCCTTACTCTGGTAAGAAGACACAAGGTACAAAATGTATATGCCTAAGCTATTCAGCTAGGAAAATATATATTACTTACATATTTTGCATTCCTTACTAACTCACTCTGTCTCTTGTGAAGCTGCTGAAATTTAAAAGAGGGCAAATCAATAATGCTCCCAATTCCCAGACTTCCATAGCAAGCATTAAGCAAGAAACAATACCAGGACAGCTCTAATAAACCTCTCAAAAAGCAGTGCTGAGGCTGAAATGACACATCTAAAATCCTGGTCTAGTTTTGGGGATCCCTTTGGCACCCCGCACCGACAGTTGAGCCGGAGCATCGCCTTTGCTGCGCCCCAGAGATGTAAAGACCTATAGATGTACAATTAGATGTACAAAATGAAAATCCACACTTTCCCCCCTAACCTGAAAAAAAATAAAAAATCTTTATGTGCATCCCTCACTGTGGTTTTAATTCTGCCACCACTCTGCTTCTGAAAGGTAACGATGTGTCCCAGGTTTTGCCAGGTCTCGGTGGTTTCTAGATTGGCAGAGTTCTAGAAAACGTATTTTTTTTTTTTTTCATATGATATTTATTAGATTGCTCAGGTTCTGGCTGCCTCTGGAGTTTGAGAGAGGCATTAACTTGGGAAGAGTTTATCCTTGTCACCTTGCTTTCTGGAGGACGACTGGGACCAACTTCCAAGCACACAGCATTGCAAAAACTGCTTGGGTTTTTTGCCCCCAAATGAAACCTTCCATCTCCAGAAAGCTGGAACCTACATAATGCTCCTCATACACTGGTTTAACAGCACCAGCAGGAAAGGAATACATTTCTAACCAGCTTCCTCCTGATACTTTGAGCCCTGGGGACACAAACAGAACTGCTAAGCAGTGGGTTGGTTCTATCCTGCTGTTTCAAAAAGAAAAGAAAAAAAAAAAAAACAACCAAAAACCCACCCAACTAAAAGAACACAAAATAAATTAAAAAACCCACCAAACATATTAACACCCCAGGCAGCAATCAGACCAGAATTATTCAGTGGTTTAAGGTAGAACCCATCCCTAACTCTGCCACCAGACTGAACGCCACCAAATTTGAAGTTTTCGTCTGCAAATGGGGTAAAAAACCCAAGTGGCTACATCAGCCCAGAACCAAGGACCTGGCCAAGAAATTCCCTGCAGGCAACCTAGGCTCCTCAAGGCTGGGGGTGCAGATAAACTTGGTTGTTAAAAATTGGCACCAAGAACCCCTCGGGAACATTGAGGTGGCTTGAAATGAGCTGGTCTGCCCCAAAAAGCGCATTGCAGGGGTGCATCACTCAGCTTTTTCACTCCCATTTCTCTCCTTCCCGCTCAAATCTCACCAAGTGATTCAGGCAAACTCTCGTTTTGCTCCCAAACTCTCCCTAAAAATCACCCAAGTCGTATTTTGTTAAAGTTCTTCCATCTGCCCTGGCTTCTCCATCGGAGTTCACTGCAGGTTTGGCCATATTTATTAGTGGCCTTTAAGTGAAACTAACCATCTCCAGTGCCATTCACCAAAAATTGTCACCACCCTTGGCCAAGCCCCCTTGGGAACGCTCAACCTCTGCAGCCACTCACCCTCTATTAAGTGTGTGCTTCAAATGCCTCTCCTCACGTTGTGTTGTAGCCTGGTAGTAATTAACTGCTTCAATAAAGGCTGCAAACTATTTTCATGGGAGAAGGCGGCAATTTATCATCAAGTCAATGGAGACCAGAACATGAATTAAAGGGAGCAACACAAAAAGGGGCAAAAATAAACGAGCAATACCCTCATTTCTCCTGCAAGTCAAGAGTACTTTTGAGGTTACTCCTAGATGCTCCTGGACCTGGCTGTGTGAGCCCTTTTACCTCCACTGCTGGCAGCAGATAACCTAAATTTGAGCGAGATAAGCTCAAATTTGGTGCTTTCGAAAGCACCAGAAGGTCACAAGCAGCTAATGGCTCTTTGTTGGCCTTGTTTCCTGGAGAATCGAGAGTCCCACCAGTTCCTTCTTCTGGGAGGCACTCCCCAGTTTGTCCACCAGGCTGTCCCTAGTGCTTTTCTAACTTACACCTCTGAATAACTAACACAGATCAATTGTTTCATGGAAGCTCCAAGCTCCTGCGTGGCAGGGGTGAGGTGGACCAGACCTCTCCCTCTGCAGCTGCCCGCACCTCCCATGGTGATTTTCTTCAGACCTAAATAATTGCTGGGACTTCAGGAACCCGCCCCGGCCGTTTTCTAGCACTCTGTGGTTCAGACATCTTTCTCCCAGCAGGTTATTCTGAGCATCGATATTTAAGATCTGGGTTTTTCTTACGCACCTCCTCTACTCCTCCTGGTGTCCAGCTCAAGTCCCGCTCCGTGGTTCCTAAAGTGCACACACATATATTGATACAGATAGACAAGAAACCAGGAAATTTAGGACAAGTAACTGAAAACAGACCTGATAACTGCCCAGTGACTGCACAGACTGGAAGAGACCGAGGCTTTTGCTTATTGTTCTGCAACACTGCCTGCAACACGAAGACAGGTTATCCCCGCTTAATTTAGAATTACGACACCCAAAGGAGGAGACAAGTCAAAAAAGCTCAACGTGGATTTTCTCACCATTTCTAACTTATGAGCCCTCATCTTCTCTAGAAAGCGAAGCCATGGGAGAACTGATCGCTCTGCAGGAACTGGAGCAGGACGATGGTCAGAAAAGCCTTTGGCAGTGGCTTTGGGGAAGGCTGCAGACACAGTCCTCCTCCCAGCGAAAAAAAAGACAAGGAAGAACCACATCACAGTGAGCTTTTTACATAAAACTGCAGAGATGGTCCAACATGAGAAACTCCAGATCTCTGATCTGGACCAGCAAGACCCTATGGGCTCCGCAGAGTGGCTCAGTGGCCTACAGGAGTGTCCATGTTAATATATTTAAGCCTAATAAACAATAGCAGCTGGACTAGAAGGGGTCCCGATGGCACAGAGCACCATTAGCACACCACTCAGCTCTGAAGATGCTCCTTTACTTAATGGATGAGCTCTTGGCTTTACATCTTGAATGAAAACTGGCTCTATCAAATAGCTTCCTCCTTCACCGTGCCAGGATTCTCACAAGGAACACGAGATGGAACTATTGTGGGAGAAAAGAAAGAGCTTGTGAAGCCTGGAGTGGTTGTAGGACACGTAGGGATGGTCAGCACAGTGAAAGGTCTTGCCGTTCCCATTCCCGAGTTGGCTGGTGGGAGCAGAGCTGACTCCAGGAATCCAAGAGCTCTGCTCAACTTGGACTTCTAGGTCTTGTAAGGCAGGAGAACATGAGACTTACATGGGATATCGCCACAAGAAGCCTGATTTCTGTGGTCAATCCAGAAAAAAAAAGGAGAAAAGCAAGCACCTTAAAATCTCGAGAGCATTCCTGCAGAAAAGTAGCCAGCAACTTCAACACATCTCCAACAGGAAACACCAAGTCATAACCCTCCTCTGCAAAACACCAGCAGCAAACCTGGCCTTAAAACTTCACAGGAGCTGCCCCCGACCCCTCTGCCATGGCTGCAGCCCCATCTGGCTGCACCTCTGGCAGATGACAGCGCTTGGGGACACATTGGCCATCAAAATCAATCCTGCTTTGCACCAAAGAGTGAAGCCTCTTTCGTCTCCTAGTGCGCCCCAATGCACAGGGACTTCCTGAAGGACTTGGCTCCAGTGCAAAGGTCTCTGGAACAAGGAAAGCCATGGGAACGTCCTAGGGGGAAACACAGACATAGGAACCATAGAGAAGATCTCTTTGAACAATGACTTGAAGCAGCAAAGTCACCCTAGAAGACACAGATAGGGGACACATCAGTCAAGGCAGGTAAGGCGCGTGTTTGTAAGCTGGGTTAGTGAGTCAGAGCTAGAACCTAATAAAAAACTGCAGCAGGTTTTCCACCACTGACACTTTCTAAGTCACAAATAAATATATATTAAAAAAAAAAATAAGCGCTTGCCTGGACAGGAATTATTTACGGAATTGCTACAGCCAATTGCAGAGGTCAACCTCAATGAAGCAGGACTTTGCCAGCAACAAGAAGAGAACAAAGCTGGGGTATAAAGAGCTGCAGGCTGGCTGGGTGAAGGAGCCATGCAGCGATACGCGGTGCTGAGAGATGATGAACTTCCCTGCAGCGGTGGTGGGCTACACCTCGGGTCTCCAAAGAGCCACCTGCAAAGATGCTCCATCGGTTGCTGCTATTAGAGGGCTGAGAATAAAATTATTCATAGCCTTCTCAGGGATTTGATGCTAACGTGGCAAGACACCTAGAGAGACCAAACTCTCCGGTACTGCCTGCGGAAAGCAGATGGCTGGAAACCTCCACCTCCCGACGTGTTGAGCTCCTGGGTTAAGACAGCACTGGAGGAAAAGAAGAGTCACTAGTTAGAGTTTGAGAAGGCAAACCAGCAAACCCACCACAGCCAGGCTCTGTGAAGGTTTAGATGTGTCCTACAGACAGAGCTCAGCTTGCAGAGACACACAAGTAAGGTTCAACCTAGTCCTGGCACGACCTGCTCAAAACCAGCACTGAAAACCCATCGCCACTTACTTTAGAGCAATGAAGGCCACGCTTGAGTAGACTGTCTTGCCTTCAGAAACACGCTCATTCCTAAAAGCAAACTTGAAGTTTCATCCATCCACTGGAATTGGGACAGACATCTCTACGCCATCCGCAGAGCCTGCCTTTCAAGGAAAGCCCAAGCGCAGCAGTCTGGACCAAAGAGGTCTGAGATACACTCAAAGAGGTCACATCTCTGCTACCAGCAAGCCACAAGGGACCACACCAACTCAAATCAATGAGCAGAGTGAGGCCACAAGCTCCCCCAGAGGATGAAGAGCAGTATATTCTGTGTGCTGGAAATGCTCCTCTCCAAAACAAGCTTCAGCCCCAGTGGCAAAAAGCATCAACGCAGGTGGCACTACAGGGAAAGCTTCTTCTGTCATCCAGAAAGTTAAAAAACTTTATGCACAACACCATCCTGGCAGCATGTCGTTGCCACCCTGGGGCCAGGAGGGTCTGGAGGAAGGTCCACACCACTTGCCTTCAGTGGTGTCAAGAAAATGTTACCAAGGGAGAGCAGTATCTAAATCCACAGGAAAAGCTGGACATGAAATACCAAAGCTGGCTTCCACTCTAATTTTCATGGGGACCAGTAGTCAAGGGTTGGTAACTGGTGAGACCACAGCAGTCCGGAGAGCGTCACTGATTTGGCCCCCAAATTTATACACTCAGCAGGATGGAGTGTAATCACAAAAATGAAAATTAATCCATGCTCACACCAGCACACAAAGCTGCATGCTTTCATAGAATCACAGAACCATAGAATGGTTGGGGTTGGAAGGGACCCTAAAGATCATCCAGTGCCACCCCCTGCCCTGGGCAGGGACACCTCCCACCAGACCAGGTTGCTCCAAGCCCCCTCCAACCTGGCCTTGAACCCCTCCAGGGATGGGGCAGCCACAGCTTCTCGGGGCAACCTGGGCCAGGCTCTCACCACCCTCACACCAAAGAAGTTCTGCCCCACATCTCAGCTCCATCTCCCCTCTTTCAGGGTCAAACCCTTCCCCCTCATCCTATGGCTCCCCTCCCTGATCCAGAGTCCCTCCCCATCTCTCCTGGAGCCCCTTGAGGGACTGGAAGGGGCTCCAAGGTCTCCCTGGAGTCTTCTCTTCTCCAGGCTGAACCCCCCACCTCTCTCAGCCCGTCCTCACAGCAGAGGGGATCCAGCATCTCCGTGGCCTCCTCTGGATTTTTTAATACCTTTCCAAGTCCTCCACAGTCAAGAATCATGACAAGCAAAAACTGTGTGCTCCCAAACTAAGAGTCAATGTTCAAGTTTAGCACATTTGTCCTGCAACAAGTTCGTGGCCACCAACTGTTTCCGACTCAAGTAGACAACCTGACGGCTCGCTCCCTGCTCCCTCTGGGAGTCACTCTGCACCCATGCAGCGAGCGGTGGACGTCCCAGGTGCACCAGTACAACCAGAGCAGAGTATTACAGACCCACAAGGCGGCTGCAGAAGCTACCAGACAGCAAAGACACTCATCCTACAGGTGCAAAGCCAGGCAGATGCCTGCTGGCATGATGTTGCTCTGCAAAACCCCGGTTGGAAAGAGTGGATGCAGCACCTCTGCAAGCAGGTTGGCTCCATGTGATGCTCTCCTCTTGGAGATGCTACTCAACTGCAGCCCCACAATATGTCCAAGGAGAAAACCAAATAAATCTGTTCTTTGTCACTGAAGAAGTTTCTTTCCAACTTATAAAAGTCAACAGAAAGTTGCTCTCACCTACTGGGACCTGTGAGATCATCCGGTGAGAAGCTGGACTGCTGGAGAAGATTCAAGGAAGGACAAGAAACAACCCAGCATGGAAAACCTGGCGTATCTGAAGCTATTTAAGCCAAAGAAAGATCTGGTAGTAACATGAACCACGTCTGCAGACATCGCAGCCAGTGGAGCCACCGGGACGAGGATCTGGGCCTGAGATAACAAATGCAAGACAAAGATAAAACCCATTCAAAAGAAATAGAAGGCAAAGCCGTTTTGAAGGTGGATGGTTGGCTGGTTGCTACGAAATGCACTGATGCTTCGTTGCTTGAGATCTTCAAATTAAAAGACAGTTGCTCTGCACAATGTTATTGCACTCAACGGTGAAATTCTGGGTGAAACCCAATCTCCCGTATCACACAAGAGGGCAAACTAGATCATGGCACACATCGCTGCTGAGACAGCCCAGTAAGAGCAGCTTTTCCTTCCTTCAAAACCACTTCACACAAGATCTAAAAATAGTTTGTTTACATTGTAAAGCAACTAAAACCACAGCCCCATCACAAAGCAGCCCTGGCCATCACCACTTTTCATATAGCTTCAAGTAAGCGAACACCATCGGCTGATATTCAGGCGTAATTTTTCATGCCTTCCCATTTCATGTGGGTTCACAGTGTTCACTTCTCCCCTTTGTGCCCAAATGAGTCTTTAACTGGTGTCTTCAAAAGTATTTATTTTTCCTTTGAAAAATAAATGACACGCTTAGCGGACAACCCCAACACAGCAGAAGCTTCTGGGGTGAAAAGCAGGTCTCTACCTACAGAAAATCCAACCCTGGGGTGGCAGGTTTGCCATGGGCACCAGGACTCGGGAATTCCTGCTGCCAGGAGATAGATGTCAGAGCTGCTCCTCCAAACAAACAGCTTGGCACCAACTCCGGCGAGAGACAAACAAATTTCAGTGGTTTGTTCTCAAAATAAAAGCAGAACCTGCATATAACCCGGGAGCTGAAGAAATGCCTCGTCAAAAATGACCCTGAATTAATTTTAACAGTTTCCTCCTGCTGAACAGCAAATTTTAAGGAGGGGATTCTCTCTGCTACAAGAGGACTCACCAGGTGAAACCATGACCAGGAACTTCCAGCACCAAAAAGCTCTTGCAGCCTATCAGCGCCGTCAGGAGAGCGACTCTGATTTCACCACTGATGAAGAAAGACGCAGGCAGCAAAAATTCTTCCCCCAGATTTAAAAAATGGATAAGATTTGGTAATCGGAGCACATTACTTCAAGAAGACTCCTTTAAAAAAAATCTAATGAGTCTTTGTTGCCTGATAACGACCCTCGACTCATGCAGCAACTGTAAAACCTGAGCTCACCTGCACCTTCCCAGCCACTGCAGCCACAGGGCAAGGCTGGAAGTGGAGGAAACAAAGATTTCTCGGCGAATTACTCAATGGAAAGTGATCTCAAAGAATATGCAAAGCTTTTGAACTTCAAACAGCACAAGGAGACGGCTCTTTATTCCGTGGTTAAAAGCAACTCGAGCAAACAGCCGACCTCCGGCCAAAACACCACCAGGCCAAGGGCACAAAATGGGCACAGTTTTGCCAAATATTCCACCACCTGTCTCAAAACACCAGCACTAAAGTCAAACCTTAACACTTAGAGGCTCTCCGGGCACCGCTGCAGAGAGGCCATGACTTTTGGGATACAGAAACCAGGCTAAATCCTCCACCACCAACGTACTTCAGAAAGAGGAGAAGGGGTGGAGGAAAAGCACATGTGCCCTACTAAGCCATGCTTTAACAAGAGCTACACATCACAGGGACAGTCAGAATATATTACTAAATAAAGCAAGGATTAAGGATACACCAGGATGAAACAACTAAAGAGCAGAAAACAGCTTTTCAGGGAATCCAGCAGACAGAAATCGAGATGTTTCAATCCTCCTGCACTTCCCACCTGCAGAACTCACCGATCCGCCGGCCTCCGAGCCACCGAGTGGGATTGAAGGTCCGAAGGAAAAGTAGCTAGAATGGTTACGTGGGAATCCCCAAATTTGAAACAGACGCTTCCAGAGCAGCTCAAACGCAACAGCATTGCCAGCCCTGCTTACGCGCAGAAAAGCACAGGCAGATGTTTAAGAGACAGATCAAAATGGGAACCAGAACTCCCTTCGCGTCCCGTTTGAATGAGGAGAGAGCGCGCCTGTGCCCGGCCACCACAAAGCTCTCCTCTGCGGAGCTTTGTCCTCTCCAGCTCCTTTCTACCTCGCTCGCCAAGAGTGGTCCGAGGCCACGGAAGGCAGGAGTCCTGAAGAAAGCCAATACTGAATCCTTATCTAAACCAAGTTGAATCTGATCTGTTTTAAGCACAATTTACAATTTATAAGACGTCAACAAATCCTCACACTGCTCTCCCTAGATGGGCACTAAGTCCAAGTCTATAAAATCATGGAAATACGGAGCATTATGCATAATAAATGCAAGATGAAGCTAAGTGCTCCCTCGTCACCACCTCCCCAGCTCTTTTTTCAGCTCAGCCAACAGTGGGGGACTACAAAGTGCATACGGCCCCCCCTTGCTCCAACAGTGTGTTCAAGTTGTCCTACTCTGCCTTAAAGATGACTTCAGGCACTGACCCCTCCACACCCAGAAGCGACTTTTGCTCTCAGTTGAGCTTGAAAAAGTCAAGCAGCCAATCCCACCTGGAATGCTAGAAAAATTGAGACTTTAGGGTTGGTGACGGCTGCCACAACTATCTCAATGTAACAAGGCCAACTCCTGGCTCTTGCAAGAAAGCCCAGCTTTCCATGAGTCCTCATTTCACAGCAATTCAGGTCAAAACACTACGATGAGCTTGATGGCTTCACAAAAGCTGCTCTACAGAGAGGGACCTGGGAGTCCTGGTGGACAACAAGTTGCCTGCCAGCCAACAACATGCCCTTGTGGCCAAGGAGGCCAATGGTCTCCTGGGATGCATTCATAAAAGTGTGGTCGCAGGAGGAGGGAGGTCATCCTCCCGCTCTGCTCTGACCTGGGGAGGCCCCAGCTGGAGCACTGGGTCCAGTTCTGGGCTCCCCAGTTCAAGAAGGACAGGGAACTGCTGGAGACAATCCAGAGGAGACTACGAAGATGATGAGGGACTGGAGCATCTCTCTGTTGAGGAAAGGCTGAGGGACCTGGAGTTGTTCAGTTGAAGAAGAGCAGCCTGAGAGGGGACCTCATTGATGCTGAGCAATAGCTAAAGGGTGGGTGGCAAGAGGATGGAGCCAGACTCTTCTCAGTGGTGCCCAGTGACAGGACAAGGGGCAACGGGCACAAACTGGAACATGGGGAATTCCATCTCAACGTGAGGAAGAAGTTCTTTCCTGTGAGAGTGGCAGAGCCCTGGAAGAGGCTGCCCAGAGAGGGTGTGGGGTCTCCTTCTCTGGAGACATTCAAACCTACCTGAACGTGATCCTGTCCAACCTGCTCTGGGTGACCCTACCCTGGTGATCTCCAGAGGTCCCTTCCCACCTCAGCCAATCTGTGACCGCGATTCTTTATCATGTGTTGGTCCAGAACCATCTAACAGGTCCATCAAGGGCTGCTCTTGGAGCCATTGCAAGGTGATAAATATCAGCCTTGTGGTCTTTCATTTCCTCTACGCTGTTCCTTAGGTTCATGATGTGTGGTTTCTTTCAAGCTTGAACATTCTGGGGGCAAAGGCGTGTTCACTTTTTAAGGGAAAGGGACAAAATTTCTCCTCTGCAAGAAGCTCACAAAACTCCTGGGACCAAAACACTTGCTCTGGCCCTAAAGCAGCCACAACCCATGACCAACTCCATCATCTGAAGTTGAGCAGCCACTTCTGGGCTGCTTTAATACTGAGACGTCTCCTTGCAACCTGCTCAGCATCCTCTCAAGCATTAATAGTTGCAGAATCTGCAGTCAAAACCGGGGTATGGTCCTCTACAGCCCACCACAACC